GCAGGAATTGGCCAATTTTAGTTTTTATATTTGCCATTGAGCATTTTATTCCATCACCTCATCCTAGGTAAAATGAAGACTGCAGCTGATACTGTTGAGGCCACTGCCTGTAAACTGGTGGATGCCTGAAATGCAAAAAGAAATCAATATCCACCCCAGTGGAGCTTATAGCATCCATGGGAAGACCCAGCTGAAGGCACACTGGAGCCCTGCCTCACAGTGATGTCAGAGTTACACCTTTATATGAGTGTGAGGCTCTCTGCAGAGATGGCAGCTTCTCTGACTTCCACCGTACGGTTGTCAGACGCCCTTAGTCCTGACCCTACCCGCTTCCATCAGCCATGCTTCTTCAATTGCAAGAAGCCCAAGGTATGCAGTGTGTACTTCAAGGGGCTTCGTTGTTTCAGGAATGAGAAAATTAGACTTTGTAAGGTTATGCTCCCCCATTTTGTACTCACTGGACAGATTTGGCAGATTCTGACATTAGTTTCCTGCTGCTGTTCATCCCAGCAGGCAGAAGGGGTGATACGGTCACATGCACACCCAAAAGCTTTTGTACAACTGCGAAAGAGGAATTTTTTTCCTTACTATCCTCCAATTTTCTCTCTTGAAAAAGCAGTACATGGAATGCCTACAGTAGCTTGGCTACTGAAAGCAGCCTGTCTGCCCTTGTGAAGCTGCCAACTTTCTGGTCTGGCTATCTTGCTGAGACATGAGCTATACCAGCTCTCAAGCTACCTTAATATGAGTATTCCCACACAGAAGACCTAGCGCTAATCATTTTATTAGGCTTTCCTGGGAATTTAGCAAGTTTTTTGAACATTTTTGTAGGAGCTACACGCAATTTGCTTGGAAGCGCTTTGCATTTTAGAGGCTGTTCCAAGAAAACAACAAAACCATGAAGAAATAGAGTTAGGTTACATGTTAATACAGGCATCTGATAGCCTAATGTTAGTCCACAATTTTCAGTATGGTCATTCCACTGCTTAAAAATCATACTCACTTTATGCTGAATATAGCTAAGTTAACTGAAATTGCTTGAGTCTACATTAAAGCAAAGCTCTATGGTCTGAAGCTTTCTATTGACAAAGGAGCACTTACCTGTAATCATAGTTAGAGCTGATAAACTTGCTAAGGCTGGGATATCAAGGTTAAGGCTCTTTAAGTTTAAGGAAAAGTCTTTAATAGAGTCGAGCCACTCCCCAAATCCACGAAGGCACTGAAGTCTATGAAGCACGAGTCCATTGCAGAATACAAACTTATCCTCAGCAGTATCAGACCTCAAATAAAAATAATTGAAAAAATTATAAATTCATCTTCTACTTTACAGCAAAATGCATAAGCAGTATTGAAGTGTCTGTCATTTAAAATCCAAGGCATATTACCCTGAGACATATGTAGGCATTCACGTTTACAATATGCTTCTCCCTTGGGGCCAAAGTACAACAAACAAGCTTCTGTGATTGCTTACTTGGTAGGGTTATAAGCCTGAGGTTAGCTGTAGCATGTGGTGTAGACTGTCTAATTAGTTAAGATTTTGGTCCTGCCCAAAGGCATAAACAGAGAAGACATTTTACATTAAATACTGTATGTTTGAACCAAGGGAATACTAAGTAAGTGCATTTTGAAATGCAAAACTAATAAAAACTGGAAAAAGAAGAGATTCTGCACCTCTCAGCATTTACTTCGTCTCATCTGCATTTTTCAGATGGTAAAAATTGATAAGGAGAAAACAATGGAAAATACATGCAATAATGCACCACAATGCATATCACATCATAAACTCTTTTATATGAAAATATGTATGTAAGAGAGATATTACAGCCAAGCTCTCCTCTCCTTCCCCTCTGCATTCCCAATACCCCTGTTAAAAAATGCATGCAAAGGTCATTTTCAACCTAAGGAAACAGGGCATAATTCAAATCACCAGCCTGGAATTTTCCCAGTCCCTGAAATTGTTTTAGGTAAAGTGTCTTAACTAGTGCTACTCTGACAAATAGCATCTGACTCTATTAAATGACTTGGTGTTAAGAAGAAAAACAATCTGAACAAGATTTTAAATCTTCTTCATCCTTTTCAAAAATGGATGACAAAGACGTACATGCACAAAAGAATGGGAAAAGGAAAAAGCTTTCATACTGAAGGTGCTTTTCTATAGTTTATGCTGATGAGCATGAAGCAAATAGTACCTGAGGATCAGTTTTGATTACTATGGAAGAAGAGGATGGGATATATCAAATAAAAAGAAGCACATTAGCAAGACCTATGTTCTTTTTTTACATCACTTTCTTGGTTTTTTCTTCAGTATAAAACAAATTAAACACCATATCCTATGGATGCAGACATTGCTGATGTTCTGTGGGGGTTTTTTGGTACCATTGACAATATTCAAAGATAGCACCATATTTACTCTTTAAAAATATTTAGACGGATTATTTTTCACATCAGCTTAAGAGGAAATGAAATAAATAGTTACCTGATGGAGAGTCTTAGTACAAACAGCTCCAAAAAAGCTGATTCTATGAGTAATGTCTGATCTTCTTTTGGGAGGTCAGTAAATCCTGGGATTTTTTCTGCCCAGCCTCTAGTTATGTCAATGGAGGCAGTCAGAAGGTTATAGAACTGTTGTACATGTTCTGCATCTGTGCCTGCAGCAGCCTGATCAGTGGAACAGTACTAAAATGAAAGCCACAGAAAGCAACGTTATGTGCATTTAAGGGCATTCTGTGAAACATACTTCATTACTTGCCCAACCACATCTCCTTCTGTGGCAAAGCTGGTATTATTATCAAAGGCATAATACGTACGTCTGTATCTATCTACCTATTTGGCTACTTACGGGCATTTTGCTATTCAGATGTACATAGCAAAAATATTTCCACATGTACAGAAAATGTTTAACATTTATAAATAAAATATAATAATTATCATCACATTTCACAAGTACCTGTATGCTATTAGTAAACAGAAACAGAAACCTGGTGGGTAGGATAATTTCCATCACACTAGAAGAGGAATGTTATTTAACTTGCTACAATTAAACATTTTTCCCATTGATGAATTTCTTTCAGTGTGTCCAAAACGCAGATTTCTTCCAAAACCTCTCCAATTGCATTTTATCTGACAGTGATACAGACATGTAAGATAAATCATGTTTTATCTGACACATGCAGCATTGCTTCATTTGAATACAGAATTAGTTCAAAGTAAAACAGCTGCCCCATATCACCTCTTATCCTTCAAATAGAAGCATTTAAGGTTCAGGACAACCTATTATCCTGCTTATGTGGCCATAACTCTTCTAGACAACCATTTGACAGACACAGTTTGCTCAGCTTCCCTGTGACCCTCTGACAACTCCCTCCCTGCTATCTCCTACTTCCTCACCAGTGGATCCCTGTCACTCCCCTGCTGCTGCTCGTTCTCTTGGCAGAAAATAGAACACGAGCTTTCATGGCTTACTCCGGTTCTGTGCTGCTGGTTTTCTGAGTAGGAATTGGATAATTTGGCATTTATTGTAACAGCTTCCTTGCCATCATACATCTGGTGGGTTATTTCTGGGAGAGACTTCATACCCACTCTCTCTCTGGGACTCAGTCAAGGAAAGGCTGAGGTGGTCTCCATGGCTGAAACAACTGTGCACGCCTTTTGGAAACAGCTTGCCACATGCAGCTAGGGCTTGAGTCCATCAGCCTAAAGGTCTCCCTAGCAACTCCCAAGTCAGAGTGGAAGCAGGAAGACCCACCTCTCTTTCTCAATAGGTAGGTAAGGGATGAAGTACACAGTGTCAGAGTTGCTGATTGATTGGAGAACCAGAGCAATCCTAGAGACCTCTGCCTGTATCTCGAGTGCTGGAGCTAACTCTGAATGACTCTGTTCAGCTTGCCCAATGCTAACTGCATGAGTTTCTTATGGTAAGCTCCAGCTCACATCTGTAGTCAGCTAGTGAAATGTGTAATCCCTCTTACAAAGTTCATGCAGACACAAATTCTGCCCCAGCTACTCCAAAGAATCATGGCACAATGAAGCAGGTAGAGGTCAAAATAGAGAGTGGAGCAGCAGTAGAATAATGTTTATGCTGCACCATTTACATATTCACTCCCTCATCTGAATGGAGCAGTTGAGCACGCTCAAGCAGCATGAACTAACTACTCCTGCCACTGGACCTCAGCAACATGTGCTGGGTGATTAGTAGGTAGAAAAAGAATATATGCTTTTTCAGACACCTTGCATGTTCTGGACTTTCTTAAAATTAAGCTGTGGAGCAAGCCAAGCCAGCGTGCATCCTGGCTCTGGGAGATGTGTGTTGCTGTGCAGGAGCTGACTAATGTCCTCCTTTCAACACAGGGAAACCAAACGGGCTGATGGAAACTCCTGCCTTGCCATAGGTATTGTTAAGGCAAGAAACATATTTGATCCTTTGAGCACTGAAGAGGAAGGAAAAGCAAAGGAAAAAAGATACTACCCTAAGTTGATTCTAAATATAACTCATCACAAGTCAGCGTAATTATGCCAGTTATTAATTTGTCCCGAATATTCGTAAAACACACCTTTGGCAAAAGTAAGGAAAAGTTTTAATGTTTTCTAATGAAACCAAGTGCTGCATTATGTCACATAACTGTGAACGCTACAGTATGGTATATTCCACATGGGGCACTTAATTGAATTAAATACATCTAAAAGAATTATAACCTGTATTTGTTGTTATAGTTTATCCCATGAGAGCAATTTTAGAAGAAAGGTAAAAAATTATATGGAATTGTATAATTTTTAGCTGCTTTAATACATTACTGCAAACTACAAAGAGTTTGCACTTACAAAGAATAGATAAAATAAAATATTATTTACTTGTTAAAGCCTTAGGAGTATATAAGTAACCATAAACAATACATGTGGTTCTGTTTTATGCACCAAAACTTGTTTTTTTTCCATGATTATCTCATTGAGAAGAGGTGATATTTGACCTAGCTTCTGACCAAGACAGATGGTAAGCCTGCCCTTGGTCAGGAGGCCACAGTAGGGAAGGGATCAAATCTTCATTTCTTAACCTGCCCTATGCAAACTGGAGGCATGCTGTGAGAAAGCCAGAAGACAAAGCTCTGCCTTACTCCCTTGCTCAGAGTTCCTTTGGGAATCAAGTGAAACCTGACTGTTGCTCAAGGAAAGGGTTGCATGTGTAGCAAGCAACGTTAAATTGTATGGTATATCTAAAGAGATTTGGAAAGCCTGATGTTGGAGACCCTTATAGCACAACCTAGCTCTACCCTTTGCCTGCTTTCATCTGACCTTTATCAACTGCTATAGCTGCAAAACCCCAACAATAACTTCTGTGCACAGAGGAGAAGCTTATGCTTGTTTTTCTGAAAGCCCCACTCTGCTTAGTTTTGTGGCTGGGGAAGATGGGGGATTATTACCTGAACGCTGCAAATTTCAGGTGATTTTGCAGCAATTTTTAATTTTTACCACCTCCAAAAAGGCAACACTTCTATTTAAATTGGTGGCTAATCTTCAAGAATAAGGACAACAAGATAGAGGGTCTAGCTCTCATCTCACTTCTTAGAAGTGTAAACTCAGAGAATTGCACCAGTAAAACAGGTGTGAGACCGGACTGTGGCCCTTGGCCTTTAAGGAATTCACAAACCAAATTCTCCTCCTGGCAATTGCTTTTTTGAAACCAAGGACCTAAATATACCTTTGCTGTGGATCGGTAAATTAAAACCAGTGCTGAAATTAAAAGTAGCCATGTTCTGAACAAAACCAGTTCCAATCTGGTTTTGTTTAAAATTCATAGCTTAGGTAAATTTATTTTTGGTTTTGGTTTTTAAGGGTTTTTTTTGGAGTGTGTAGGTTTTTTGGGAGGGAAGGAGTTCCTCTCCAAAACTCCTACCAGTGTTCTTAAGACGGTAAAGACCTTGCGGCTTGTAAACATGAAGACCATGCTAAACATTAAGGTCATGTCTGCAGAAGTGTTAGGGCTGATTTCAAAGCTAGATTTCCCATTTGCGGTGCTTGGCAGGGGTACGAGGTAGCTGAACATGCCGTAAGTTTGTCTTTACAGGTACAGGATTATGCTTCAAAGGGATTTTTTAGCATTGTGATGTGCTTACAGCATATTTCATTCAGTTAGTTTCAGTTTTTATGCAGCATTTGTTTCTGATCTCCCTTAACTTTTCTCTGTAAGCATAAGGCTTACGAAAAATGTAAGAATCTATTCATTTCTTTAAGCACATTTTTGTCTTTTCAGTACTGCTGAGCACAACAATTATGTATTTTATTGTAAACAAAAACTTAGATATTAATACATCCTAACAAACACTCATGCTTAACCTTTTAGCTACCAAGACTAAATTAATTTACTGTCAATCATATGCTTCCTGTAACATCCAACAGAATCGTTCAACAGTCAGGTCTATGGCTGTTTTCATTAAAAGAGAAACAATAACTGCAGGACAAAGTAAAAAGTCACATGAAAATACACGCATACGTAAAACTACACAGTTTTCTTTCAGTTTTTTCTAAATGCAAAAGATTTTAATGCCTACAAATAAATAAATATATAAGGTCAGACACTGCTTTCATGACCTGGGCTATTATATGCTTGTAATTCTGTGGAACCCAGCAGATTTCTGTCAAAGAGCACAGCTCATCACACACCTCAGTATTTGCAGAATGACCCCCTGAGACATTCTGGTTAAGTTAAAATATGTGTAAATATGGCTAATGCATTCTCTCCCTACAAGGTTGTCAGATACTGAATAGCTAGATTCTTAATAATAATTAGGGAAATTATATGATTGTGTATTTACAGATTATCAAGATAAAAGATGTTACGGCATGCTTAAAATTGCTAAATTATATACATAAGTACAGTCTAAAAGAGAATAATACAGTTTTTATATAATTATAAACAAATATGTTTTAGTATTGAATATTACTTAGCAACAAGTGACAAATGGCTGATGTAGATGTTGCCTGAGTATATCTGTATTTTTTACAGTCTTAGATTTAATCATTTTTCATTAAGGGGAAGGAATTTTATCCTGGTTTTCCTGCATTTTTTTTCTATTCCTATATCAACCTGCCTGAAAATGTATTTAACAAGCCATATCAATGCTGTATTTTAATAACTATAGAACAGTTTTTTTAAGCTTTCAAGATATTCCATGAATATTTAAATGGTGAATATGATATATGAAAGAACAAGGTTACAAGAATGTATAATCTCTGTAAAGCTTTGCTGAGACAGTTTTTTAGAATTTTTCTTTTAAAAAGCTTGTTTTACAAATGTGAATTTTACTGAAGAAATACTCATGCTGGCCTATCCAAAGCCAGACCCTGGCCCCATTTGAACAATGGCAAAATCCCTATTGATTTCAATAGAAATGGCCCTATCCATCCACTGCTACTTTGCGCAACCCTTATATCTGAATATTAGAGAAGTGTTATTAGATTTTAGCCTGCGGAACCTGGAAGTTAAGATACTGGACATGTGAGTACTGTTCCTAGTTTGGTAAATTAATTGATTGTATTGTGATTGCTAGTGTTTTGGCACAGCCTTTTGCAAGAACAAGGCTCTGTTTATCCATGCATTTTTGCTTTCATTCACCCATGGAATATACTGCAGGTAATTTTGCGCCTAAGATCCTCATGATGTTCCTAACAGCAATTTCTACTGCACCTTCCTGTTCCTCATCATCCACCTACCATAAAAAGGACATGGCTGGCTAGACAAATTTCTACCCTCATCCAAATTTCACATTTAGTTTCATTTTATCAAACCAGCTGGTAAATAGAAATGCAGTTTGTGAATTATTTCTATGTGGAAAATAAAGAGGCAAAGAAAAGTGAGACATACTCTTGAATAGTCAAGCTCCCTGGGCGTGGAGTCGGTTAAAGCTCGTACAAGGGCGTTCATCATGCTGATGGGAGGAGAAGGCGGGGAGGGCTGAGAGGGTTCTTGCTGTAAGGGGCTCTTTGGTTTGGAAGGCAGCCGACCTCTTCTCCCTTTCAGGCTGTCGGTACGGACAACTAGGTAACAACAGAAAAAGCAGGAATCAGTTGTGAAGATACCAGCAAATGCTGGATCAGAATGAACACCTGCTTTTCTTATGGTCATCAGCCCAGCAAAACTAAGAGCATTCTCCAGTTTCAGCACATGCTCTTGATGCCTTTGATTGCAGCAGAACACAAATGATACCAAAATTGCGTCAGACCTATGATCGTAAGCAGTAATGTAGCTGCTTACTTAAAGCCCAGCTGTGTTCCTAGTGTTCATGCTTTGTCTGCAGCACGTCTGTGTGCCTGTGTATGTGTGCCCATGCACACACACAGACACTCTGCTGCTGAAAGAAAACTGAACGTGAAACACAAATTCTATTGTTCTTACTACCGGTGCACCTTTTAAAAGGCACAGTTGTTCATTCAAAGTCATTTTAGCTTTCTTAAAGCATGTGAAAAAATATGGTCACACTATATAGGTTATATTATCCATGTTAGTATTTGCAATGGGACTGCTCACACAGTATTACTCACATACTTAAATATTTGCAGAATTGGGACTAATGAGTTGATCCTGTTTCCATTTAAATTAATTGCAAATTTACAATCACCTTATGGGAATGAGACAAAATCCTATGTTAAAATGCACACAAGCCAGTGCAGCCCCCGGTGAGATAACAGGGGGAAGCCAACAGCATTAGCAAGCAATGTTCAAAATTAATAAAGAAGACATTTTGGCCAGTGTCAAATTATCCTCTTTTGACCTTGCTGTTCTTGAACTCTGAGGTCTAGAGTCTAAATATGATAATATGGGTGAAAAGAAGAAAATCAACACATTATTGCACAAATACATATATTTTGAGATAAGTTATGAGTCCCATCACTATAAAATTCTTTGTAAAGAAAGACATCCATGTCCACACAGACACAGACACAGGTTCATTAAACATAATATTTCAGTGTCTGGGATGATAACAGCAATAGTCCTTACCTTCTTTAACCATGCCAACGCTGAGACACTTCTGAAACCGGCAGTATTGGCATCTGTTACGACGTCTCTTGTCCACTGGACAGTTTTTGTTTGCCAGACAAACATATTTTGCATTTTTCTGAACTGTTCTCTGCAGAAACGCAACACAAAAATAGTAAACCGATCATTTCTTGAGCAACTTAGAACCTGACAAAATGTGTTTTAATTACAACATGAAAAGCGACAGTGCAATTCATATAATTAGATAAAATTAATTTCCTAACACACTAGCCTGCAGGAAAAACAATTTTATTAGTGTTAGCTGCTGACAATGAAAATCATCTAGGATTGTTCTGAAGCAAGTCTCTGGAGACAGGCAACTTTGAATGATAAAATCATATCTGAAATTACCAGGTCATCACATCTACCTTTGGGGATTAGATTATCTCCGCTTTTAATATCCCTTTGGGAACAATTTTCTACTTGGTTCATTCCCTTGATTATTGCTGACCTTATTAAAATAAAATCAAAATGATCTGCAATGTACTTCTTTTGCTATCACTATTGTTAGTCAAATACCACAATAGCTGGTTTGGTTAGCCATTAAAATCATTGGGGAGAAAAATACAAATACCAAAACCCCCTACAAAATATGGTTAGTTCAATATTTGGGGAAAGCTAACCTGACCTGGGGAAAAAAAACCCAAACCAGGCAGAATTATACTGTAGTTATATACATTTAATTAACTCTAAAATGATCTTAAGACTATACAATATATCTAAAATTTGTAAAAACCTGGCAAGCTTTGAGAGAATGTGACAAATATTGATGCAAAAATGTAATATGTGTCCCCATCCTTAAAATCAAAGATACGTCAATAAATAACTTGGTACCAAGAAAAAAGACATTAATAGAACAGACATGAGAACAGGAATAGATTTATCAACTCAGCATTCGGTATTATTTTTTTCACTGCAATTAAATTAATGGATAAATGTTATTTCATAAATTGTGTTTCTTTTCAACTAACAGCCTCAATGAACTAAATATAAGAGCCACAGCAAATACTCATCATTGCACTTTGGAGCTGAAAACTGATTAATATTGCAGAATAAGCTCTAGATACTGCTCCCAGTCAAGGATATGCTATTGATTTCCACAGGGTCAGGATCAGGCCCATAAGAGCTGCTATTTCCAGGTTATTTGTGTCCTCTTCTCCAGTTACATTTAAATAACAAATGAGTTTCATGGGAGATGTGTATTTTACCATGTTGTGAAAGGATTATTATTAAGTAACATTGGCAGCTCCACCTACAATTAAACAAAAATGTTCTAAGCTCTCCTCGCAACTATTTTTGGACTGGTTTTGTTCCCATTGTAGCTTTTACCAGAAGAGGGGCATGCCTGCTATCTTTGCAGGAAGGAATACACCAAATAAACCCCAAATGTATCAAATTTTAAGCCTGTTGGCCAGAACCAATCTTAACAAAAGTCTGTTCCAAGTTCTTCACTTAAACAAGCTATTTGTGAAAATAATGCTGGAATCTGAACTTAGCCTGTTGAAAAGAAATTATGAGGCACCAAAATCTAGTAGCAAAAAGAGAGTATCCAATTCTTAAAAACACAAACACAAAGTTTCCACTGGGAAACTGCCGTGTGTAAGTTATTTTTGTTGCTATTCAGCTGCAAAGCTTCCTTGGATACCAAGCAGGCATCGGGACCCTGTGCAGTGCTTAGTCACTGCTCTGCAAGCAGCTTTCCACTAGTGAGGACTCACTGGGCTCCTGAACTGAAAAGTAATTGACGAGGCAGCAACCAAATAAAACTAGAAGTGCTTGGGTTGGTCTCACATGTGAAACTGGTTTCCCCCTGAGGCCAACCCCACAGCACTCCTCACCCCAACTGCCCCAGGGCAACAAATGGCACCGCTGCCATCAACTAAAATATCAAGTGGACTTTATGATTCCAGGGTGTCTTTTTTTGGTTAAAAAGGAGGTTCAGTTGGAACGAGTGATGAGCAAAACCCAGGTTGGACGTATTCCACGTGAGTTTCGCTATGGAGTAAATGCAGTTTATAGCTCAGACAGGGCTGACCTGTGCACTGTTGAGGGATGCTGGCAGCCTGCAGATGTGGTTTGCCCAGCTCACTGTCCTGGCCCTTTCTCAGCCGAGACTGGCTGATGCTTTTACCCTACAGAGGGCTTGCTTTGCCCTTCTTCAACAGCTGGATGGGTGTCCATCCCGCTTGGCTGGGGGGCTCTGAGCTCTAACACAGGATGCTCCTGAGCCCTGGAGCGAGGCCCAGAAGCATGCAAGGGCAGGTGGGGAGGGAGGAGAGGCTGGGGTAAGCAGGGCAGGGAGCAGCCCGCGGAGCTCTCACCTTGAAGAAGCCCTTGCAGCCCTCGCACGTGCGTACGCCGTAGTGCTGGCAGGCGGCGTTATCCCCACAGACCGCGCAGGTGCCTTCCCCGGACGAGGAGCTCCTGCTGGGTGGAGATGGAAGGGCGGTGCTGACTGCCGCTGCCACTGCTCTCACCCATCAGGCTGGAGGTGGCTGCGTTGAGGCCGAGCGGTGAGAAGGCTAAGGTGGCTGGTCTTTTGGCCAAGTGAAGCCCGTAAGAGTGGCCCTCCATGGGTGCCTGGCTGGCGGCGGGGTTGTGCAAGCACAGGGGGAGGGTC